TCTTAATTTGTCAACCTTAATTTTTGTAGAATGTTTTACATATGATCATCGTCTCTATATAACCCTATATTATCAATGCTAACATCATAAGCAGTTAGATAAAATAAATTAATCCAAACAAATAAATAAGTGAATAAACAACATATGGACAGATAAACACAAGAAAACATAGTAATAACAACTAGCAATAAAATAATCAATAATAAATAATAAAGTTAACTAACATTATAAATGGCCAAAAAACTGCATTAAGATCCACAATTATTTCCACTCAGTAGTCCCTAGAATTATTTGAAACCATTACCGCCCACCAAAATAACTGTTAGAATAATACTATAGACTATCCACAATGCATCATTGACCTGAATATATAAATAGTTGGGCAAAAACACAATGCACATGGACTGACAATTGTGTTTAGCATGAAACAGACTGTCGCATCTGTATATTGATTTCAATGTTCACTTTTACATATATATATATCTATATATATATTTATTTTCTGTATATATGTTATTTTTATAGATGTAATTTATTTAAGTAAATGGTCTGTTTTTAATTAAACATTATTAATTACATTTACTGGCCTGAATTTTCAAGATATTTTGTAGAAAATATATGTTGTCCAAAAGGAATACAAGTTTGATTTCTGTCAGAGAACTCATATTTTCTAAATTAAATACTGTTAAATTAAAGAACAGAGCATTTACTTAAATAAATTGTATCTATAAAAAAATGCATAAACATAAAATATATTGAATAATTGTCAGACTTAATCCATTTTCATTATATATATATATATATATATATATATATATATATAAAAGTGAACATTGAAGTCAACACTAAGAGGCGACAGGCTGTTTTAGGTGCTAGACACAATCGTGGCCTGACTATTGCATCTAGCATGAAACAGCCTGTCACCTGTAAGTGTTGACTTCAATGTTCACTTTATATTTACAAATGCTCTATCACTGATATTGAACACTTTATCCCATAAATATTGCACACATTAAGAGTATATTTCTCTCTCTCTCTCTCTCTCTCTATATATATATATATATATATATATATATATATATATATAAAAAAAAAGAAAGAACAGTAAGATATATAATCCGGTGTTCTTTTTAATATTTTTATTTTTACAAATCAGTGCTCAATGCAAATTTACAGAGCATAAATATTATAAATTAACTATTTAAAAATATGGTTCCATCACTACACATGTTTCAAAATATATTTACACCTCCAATATTAGCACATGAAAACTCTTTGTCAAAAAGATAAAAAAAAACTGTTCAAAATTTGAGTTGTTGACTAGTTTATTTTTTAATAATAATTACTACCTAAGTATACAATACATTCATGAATATAAGAAATATATCAACATTTATTATTTACCAAGACAACTAAAAAAGGAAAAGAAACACCTTTATTTTCCTTTGCACTAGTAAATTGTAAAGCTGGATGCCAACTACCTGGTGATTGATGAAATACTCTAACCTCAACTGCCCTATCAAACACCCATTAAGTCTCATTGATATACTAAAAATTATAGTTCTTTGAAAGTAAAGCTTGCTTGTAAAATCAAACATAGATACTGGCTATTGCTGGGCCCAATTGATTACCTATTTATTTAAACAAATTTTGATAAATTCAACTGACAACAGCTTTCTGTTTCTGTTTCTTCTTCTTTTTATTCTTCTGTCTCTTCTTCTGTTTTTACTTCTTCTTCTGTCTCTTCTTCATTATTCTTCTTCCTTTGCTTCTGCCTGGTTTTCTGTTTTTATTCCTCCTTTTCTTCTGTTTCTTTGTTTTCTTCTTCTGTTTCTTCTTCTTCTACCTCTTCTTCCTCTGCCTTTTCTTCTTCTTCTTTTCCTTCCTCTTCCTCCTTTTCGTCTGTTTCTTCTTCTGATGCTTATTGCTCTTCTTCTGTTTCTTTTTCTTCTTCTTCCTCTTCTTCTGTCTTTCTTTCTGTTTCTTCTCCCTCCTCTTCTCCTCCTTCTGTTTCTTCTCATTCTTCTGCTTCTGTCCCTCTTTCTGTTTCTTCTCCCTCCTCTTCTCCTCCTTCTGTTTCTTCTCATTCTTCTGCTTCTGTCCCTCTTTCTGTTTCTTCTCCCTTCTCTTCTCCTCCTTCTGTTTCTTCTCATTCTTCTGCTTCTGTCCCTCTTTCTGTTTCTTCTCCTCCTCTTCTCCTCCTGTTTCTTCTCATTCTTCTGTCCCTTCTTCCCTTCTTTTCTCCTTCCTTTTCTTCTCATTCTTCTGCTTCTGTCCCTCTTTCTGTTTCTTCTCCCTCCTCTTCTCCTCCTTCTGTTTCTTCTCATTCTTCTTTTGCCTCTTCTTCTTCTACCTCTTCTTTTTCTTCTCTTTCTCTTCCTCCTTCTTTCTCTTTTTCTTCTCCTTTTTCATTTCCCTCTTCTGTTTCTTTTTCTTCTGCTCTTTTTTTTCTCCTCTTCCTTCTTCCTCTTCTTCAGATGCCGATTCTTCTGATTCTACCAGTTTTTTTTGCTTCTTCTTCTTCTTTTTCTTCTTCTTCTTTTTCTTCTTCTTTTGCTTCTTCTTCTTCTTCTCCTCCTCCTTCTGATTCTACCACTTCTTCTTCTGTTTCTTCTCCTCCTTATTCCTCTTCTTCTGTTTCTTCTTTTCCCTCGTGAAGACATAGATCATCATGGCTCTCTAAATCTTCTCATCCTTTGTATCTCTTAGCAATGTTTATATTCTTACTGTCCTTCCCATTCTCTGTTGTGCTATCTGTTTACATAAACTCCTCAGGAAAGGTACTCACTGTTTCTCACTGTCCCTCTTGCCTTTGATATGCTTTGTGTCACATTTTCAAAGTTTACTTTTCTCATTATGTGTCCAAGAAATTTCAATTCCCTTCATGTTCCTTTCATAAGGAACGGATTTCACTCAGACATCTTCTTCTCCAGAACTGTTCTGTCCTGGGTACGATGATAAACTACATCAGCGTCCGGAGTAAGATGATAAACTACATCCAACAGTGAGGTCTCTGATTAGTAGGTTTTGAGGAGCATGGAACCATCACTTAATTGCTGGTGTTCCCAGGTCCACCCTAACCCAGGGTGGTAGCATCTGTTAGGGTCCCAGCTATGAGTAAATAGTTACCCACCTAAAAAATGGGGTCAAATGCTATGAAAGTGTAAAAATAAATTTTAATACCAGAAATACTTTGTAAAAATTATTACCAGCAATACATTTTTGAAAAAAATAAATATTACCAGCTGTACATTTTTAGAGAAAAAATATTACCAGATATAGATTTTTGAAGAAAAAATATTACCAGCAATACATTTTTGAAGGAAAATATTACCAGCAATAAAAATTGTCAGTATTAAATAATCCATTGTGGTTGATATGCCATGAAACAAAACATACAAAAGCAAAGTAGAACTGTTACTTTGTGGAGTATGCCTCCCGGGGTGATGCTTCCCTGACAGCTACAGTCTTGGTCGCTTTAGGTCTGAGATTGTCCAATGTCTATCCTATATGTCCTCATAATATGTATTTCTTACTTTCTCCTTCCCAACCACATTACAACAATTTCACTCAGTAACCTTCTACCTTGAGTGGCTCTTGAAACTTATAGTGGGTGAACTAACAGTACAAAAAAAAAAAAAATAGAAAAAGTAGCATTATGATATGAAATATATTTTAAACAAAACATCTGGTTGCTTGATTCATTGTACTTTTTTCTTTTATATGCTGTGTCCATCTAGGATTTTATGGTCACAGCTCTCCACAATTTCCTGTCATTTGTAGCTCTTTTGTCTTTCTTGCTATTTCTCCCAAATTCTGTTCTGTGAATCATTTACACAAGATTCTTAAGTAGGTTGTGCTGTTTTCAGTTTGCCTTCAATATGTCCTGTGAGTGTCAAATTTTCTAAACCCTCTTTTTTCATTATATGCCTTGGAAATTCCAACTATTTCTTTCTGATGTTAAGTATAAGTATCCTTTGTGATTCCGTTTTCTTTTAAACTTCCTCATTGCTCACATGCCTGTCCATGGTATTCTCAGCATCCTTTTGTAGAACAACATCTCTGTTACCTCAAAACTGTGAAGAAATTGTCCAGAATTTACTGATATCCAGGAAGACTGATACGGTGGAGTAATGGATAGTGGCTCAGATTGAGAAATTGGAGAGCTGAGTTCGAATTCCATTCGAATCCATTACATTCACTTATGTGCTAATACCCTTTGGAAAGGTATGAATCCTCTTCTTCTCCCTCCAGCTATAGGTAAATAACAAGACAGATCGGGTTCTATAGCCTTGGATGGTAACTGGTCTACCGCAGAAAGAAATGGCAACCTGTCAGTCATGTATCAAAATATACATGATCACCCAAGCATGTATCACATGTGGCACATGACTGACTGATATTATATGGCATTTAAACACTTTGTCTAATCATTGTAAGACAACTTTTGCTATTTCAACATGACATTTTGATTTCTGTCACATTGTTCATCCTACATCTAAGAGAACTAGAAGTTCTACCAGGATTTATTATTGGTGGACACAAGCTTAGCAACATTCACAGATGACATTATGTTGATGTCAGACACAGAAAGAAAACTTTTGGAATTCTTAAACAAGGTAATAAAGAAAAGTGAGAAGAAAGGACTAATCATGAATTGTAAGAAGACAATGTATGATTATTAGCAAGAGGGATGACTCAAGATGTGAGTTACGAATTGGAGACAGACAGAAATATCCGAAGGTGCACAAGAATAGCAAAAATGCCTTTCAGAAGGTAAACAAAGGATTAAGTAACAGGAAGATGTTGTTAGTGTTATATACCATACCTATGAACACTAATGGATATGTCTCAATCCTCATAAATACATTGAACACTGTTGTAAATGGGGGTAATATGCTGTCTATGTAGTCCAACACTAGCAGTAGTTTACCTACTTCATGCCGCTGGCGAGTATTGTATTGGTTTTGGTTATTCCTCATTCAGTAACCCTTTCTAGGTTATGATAGATAGATAGATAGATAGATAGATAGATAGATAGATAGATAGATAGATAGATAGATAGTGTTATATACCATACCTATGAACACTAATGGTTTCTAGGTTACAACAGTACATAACTCAAATTTTCAGGTTGATGTTTTCATTTTGTAGTAGTGTTGGGTGAATATTATTTCCACCAAAAATTGTTTTAATAGAAAGATTTTATAAATTTCAATTTACAGCAGCACTGACTGTTTCTTTAATGAATGCTGAATGTTTTCTTACAAGAATACAGCTAATAATACCATTACCTTAGACCAGCATTTTTCAACTTTTCTATGCTTGCCAAACTATTGAAATACTTTTCATGTCTCATGCATAAAAATAATTATTTACCTGTTACATACAATAACTATAAACACTAATGGGTATGTCCTGATCCTCATAAATGCATTGAACACTATTGTAAGTGGGGGTAATATGCTGTCTAAGTGGTTCACCGCTAGCAGTGGTTTACCTATTTCACACTGCTGGTGAGTATTTTGTTGATGTTATAAGGATTACCATTTCATTTCTAACCTTCATTTTGATTATTCCTTATTCAGTAACCCTTTTCTAAGTTACAACAACACCATTATTAATATTTATCTCTTTCGTATTTTATTATAATAACCAAGGATTTTTCAAAAATATGCCGTATGTGTATATTAAAATTCCAAATATAAAATTAAACAAAAATTTCTCAACAATGAATTAGCATATCAATCACTTTCTTGCCTGATTGACAAGCACTGCTCTGGAAAAATTCCTCTGCTACCAGACTAGTGTTTCTCAACCTTCCTACTCTTATGGAACCCTTGAAATTGTTTTTTATGTCTCATGCATCAAAATAATGATATATCTGTTATATACAGTACCTATGAACATTAATGGGTATGTCCTAATCCTAATAAATATGTTGGAGACTTGTAAGTGGAGGTAATATGCTGTCTAAGTAGTCCACCATTAAGCAGTGGTTTACCTATTTCACGCTGTTGCTGAGTATTGTATTCTGTTGATGTTATAAAGATTACCATTTCATTTCCAAGCTCCATTTTGGTTATTTCTCATTCAGTAACCATTCTTAGGTTACGATAGATAGATAGATAGATAGATAGTGTTATATACCATACCTATGAACACTAATGGGTATGTCCCAATCCTCATAAATATGTTGGACACTAAGTGGGGGTAATATGCTGTCTAAGTTGTCCACCACTAGCATGCCGCTGGCGAGTATTGTATTTTGCTGATGTTATAAAAATTCCCATTTCATTTCCAACCTCTGTTTTGGTTATTCATCGTTCAGTAATTCTTTCTAGGTTACAACAGTGTGTGTAAAATGTTCTCAAGGTTATTGCCTCTTTTGTTTCTTTAAAAGTTTGTGCTTACTTATTTTTGCTTGTTTCAAGAATTGCATTGTTAAGGGACGCCTTTGTGACCGTTAACTGTGAATTTTCACAGAGCAAAGAAGATACGTCTGTGCTGTTCTTTTTACTACTGCTACTCCCACCTGATCTAATCTACTGACTTTGCTTGTGGTGGAAAGGTCATTTTTATAATGATGAAGTTTCAGATTTTAAATGATGAAATATCTTTTTTAGAATGATGAAATAACTTTGTTGGTGGAAAGGTTGTTTTTATAATGATGAAGTTTCAGATTTTAGAATGATGAAATATCACCATCATATATCATCACTGGTGGAAAGGTTGTTTTTAGAATGATGAAGTTTCAGATTTTAGAATGATGAAATATCACCATCATATATCATCACTGGTGGAAAGGTTGTTTTAGAATGATGAAGTTTCAGATTTTAGAATGATGAAATATCACCATCATATATCATCACTGGTGGAAAGGTTGTTTTTAGAATGATGAAGTTTCAGATTTTAGAATGATGAAAATATCACCATCCATCATGGTGGAAAGGTTGTTTTAGAATGATGAAGTTTCATTTTAGAATGATGAAATATCACCATCATATATCATCACTGGTGGAAAGGTTGTTTTAGAATGATGAAGTTTCAGATTTTAGAATGATGAAATATCACCATCATATATCATCACTGGTTTGTTTTTAGAATGATGAAGTTTCAGAAAATGATCACCATCATATATCATCACTGGTGGAAAGCAGATTTTTAGAATGATGAAATATCACCATCATATATCATCACTGAAAGGTTGTTTTTAAATGATGAAGTTTCAGATTTTAGAATGATGAAATATCACCATCATATATCATCACTGGTGGAAAGGTTGTTTTTAGAATGATGAAGTTTCAGATTTTAGAATGATGAAATATCACCATCATATATCATCACTGGTGGAAAGGTTGTTTTTAGAATGATGAAGTTTCAGATTTTAGAATGATGAAATATCACCATCATATATCATCACTGGTGGAAAGGTTGTTTTAGAATGATGAAGTTTCAGGAATGATGAAATATCAAAAGGTTGTTTTTAGAATGATGAAGTTTCATTTTAGAATGAATGAAAGGTGAAAGTTTCAGTTTCATATATCATCACTGGTGGAAAGCTTGTTTTTAGAATGATGAAGTTTCAGATTTTAGAATGATGAAATATCACCATCATATATCATCACTGGTGGAAAGGTTGTTTTTAGAATGATGAAGTTTCAGATTTTAGAATGATGAAATATCACCATCATATATCATCACTGGTGGAAAGGTTGTTTTTAGAATGATGAAGTTTCAGAATGATTAACACCATCAGATATCATCACTGGTGGAAAGGTTGTTTTAAATGATGAAGTTTCAGATTTTAGAATGATGAAATAACACCATCATATATCATCACTGGTGGAAAGGTTGTTTTAGAATGATGGGGAAATATCACCATCATATATCATCACTGAATGATGTTCTAGAATTTTCATTTTTAGAATGATGAAATATCACCATCATATATCATTTAAATTTTTGATTTTTGAATGATTTGATCACCATCATATATCATCACTGTCATTGTCATTCTGGATCATAACAAAACCTTTATTTAATCTAGTGGGGGGGGGGTGAAAGTTCTAGTTCTTATTTTTTAAAACACTTCTCAGATATTTAAATTTCTTTGCTTCTTTGAGTTTGATATGCCCAATTCATAACTCACATCTTGGGCTTTTCTTTAGCTGAAATCCATACATTCTTTGTCAATCTGTCTCAAAATGGTAAGTTTTTTTTATTTATTTTCATCATTTCACCCCAAGCAACACAATAAAATCACTAAGACACAAGAGGTTACAGAGTGTTAGGGAATATGAGAAAAACTACTATCAAGGAGAGAGGTCAATAAAAGAATAAGAATTAAGAAGACATAAGGTAACAAATGACACTGAATTTAAATCTTTGAAGATCAAACGTGACTGGGAAGCAAGATGCCAGAAGAGAGTTCCACAAGCGAGAAGTGCAATAGAAGAAACTCTCAGCATAGAACTTACATTTACATTTATCCATTTTGGCTGAAAAATGATGACACCTTGCCACCAATCTGGTGCTGCATTTAAATTTATAAAGTCTAGGTACCATAGAGGAAAATTCATCAGAACAATTACCATGAAATTATTTATAGAAAAGGCACAGGGAAGATACATTACGGTGGTGGGAAAGTCACTGAAGCTGAGATGCCAGGTCAGGACCATTAATATTGTAGATATTTCTTTGGATTTTAGCAAGAATCTCTAAATATATAGCAGGAGTACCAGACCATATATAGCAGTAATATTCAAAGTCTGGATGAATGGTAGACTTATAATTATGCAATATAGATTCAGGAGAGGAAAATTGTCTAGCACGACGCAGTGAATCAACTTTGTTAACTGCAAACTTAGCCATTAATTCAATATACTCTTTCCACTTCATGTCAAATGTTAGTCTGAGATGGTGCAATAAGTTGAAGCAGTAAAACATCTTTACATGACCCCCTACAATTTCCGTCTTAATATTGCTCACATCTTTGAACTGATCTAATCAAAGCGATTAAAAAATCAACTTTATTAGATATAATCTATACATGAGGAAGGCTGAGGAACCTACCAGCCTAAGCAACTAGGATTAGGATATTAGTCTAATCCTTTATTGAAATAATGACAATGCTTTATCTTAAAATTCCAGACAAGAAAATAGTTATTGGGAATGAATAAAGAATGTGATAGTTTTGCTTTCTCCAAGAAACAGAATCTCATTACGATAGGTGAACAGTTAGAGAAACAGACTAACCATTCAGAAAATATTCCTGAAATTATTGGACCCAAATTCCATGCCACGTCCTTCTTAATTAGGTATCATGCAGTCTGCAACAATGGACAGTGCCAAGTAAATATGGCAGTTGTTAGGATTAGAGAAGAAAGGATGGTGAACTGATTGGGTTGTGACCATTCTCTCCATGCCAGTGGAATGGGGTTGAAGGTCTAGGGAGAAATATCTGGAATGTTTCTGAGGAAATTAACACAAGCACTGGACCTTCTGAATAATGTGCATTTCAAGAGGGCAAGGGTAGAGACTGAAGGGATTTCCATAGATAGGGATGGTAGTGGTTAGGGTTAGGATTTAATACAGGGATGAGGTGTGGGTGGGCTTGAATCAATAAGGTTTGGGTCATTTGAAGGAGAAGGTTGAGGATGGGTTGGATTGTATTTGAATCTGATGATTAAGTTAGAAGGATTATTTGAAGGGCTATAAATGTGGAGAGGATTGTATGAAAAAAAATAGAAAAGTGGAGGAGGAGGAGGAGAATGGAACAGAAATAAAGGAAAAGAAAGGAAAAAGAAGAAAGAGGAAAGAAAAAGAGAAGAAAGAAAAAAAGAAAGGGTAAGATAAATGAAAAGCAAGGAAAAATAAAGAAAAAGCAAAAAAAGATAAAAGAAAAGGAAAAAAGAAAAAAAGAAAGAAAATAAAAGAAAAAAAGAGAGAGAAAGAAAGCGAAAAGCAAGAAAAACAGCCGGAAAGAAAAGAGGAAAGAGAAAGAAAAAAGAAAGGGGAAGAATAGAAAGAAGAAAGAAAGAGGAAGAAAAGAAAAAATAAAGAAAGGACAAAAAGAAAAAGAAGAAAGAAAGGGGTGAAAGAGAAATGTTAAAGAAAGAAGAAAGAGAAAGAAAACTATAAACAAGAAAGAAAACTAAAAACAAGAAAGAAAAGAGGGAAGATAAAAAAGAAAGAAAGGGTGAAAGAGAATGAAAGAAGAAAGAGAAAGAAAAAGAAAGGGGTGAAAGAATAAAGAAGAATTAAAGGGAAAAAAAGAGAAAGAAAAAATAAGTGTAGTGTCAAAAGAAAGATAATAAAAAATGGAAAATGAAGAATGAAGGAAGAAAGAAAAAGAAAACTAAAAACAAGAAAGAAAAGAGGGAAGAGAAAGAAGAAAGGGGAAAGAGAATGAAGGAAGAAAGAGAAAGAGAAAGAAAGGGTGAAAGAATAAAGAAGAATGAAAAGAAAAAAAAAGAAAGAAAAAAGAAGTGTAGGTGCCAAAACAAAGATAATAAAAAATGGAAAATGAGAAGTTAAACAAGAAAAATGAAAAAGTAGGGGAAAAATGAGGAAGAACAAATGAAAAAGCAGAACAGATAAAGAAATAACTGAAGGAAATGAAGAAGAAAAAAAACAAAGAAAAAGAAGGAAGACAAGAAACTAAAAATGAAATAAACAAAGAAAAAAGATGTTGAGAAAAAGAAAAGGTGAGAGGTAAAGAAGAAAAGAAAGTGGAAGAAAAAGGGACAAAAAAGAAAGTTAAGAAAGAAAAACAGTAATAGGAAGAGATGAAAAAGTTGAAGTAAGAAAAAGAAAAGGAAAATAAAAATTTGAAGGAGAGATAAAATAAGAAAGAGTGAAAAATGGTACAATAATAAATCTGGAAAAAGAGAAAAATAAAGAAAGATGGAAAAAAGAAAGAAAAATAATGAAAGATGGAAAAAAGAAAGAAAATAAAAGAAAGATGGAAAAAAGAAAGAAGAATAAAGAAAGATGGAAAAAAGAAAGAAAAATAAAGAAAGATGGAAAAAAGAAAGAAAAATAAAGAAAGATGGAAAAAAGTAAGAAAAATAAAGAAAGATGGAAAAAAAAGAAAAAAAAAAAGAAAGATGGAAAAAAGAAAGAAAAATAAAGAAAAGATGGAAAAAAAGAAAGAAAAATAAAGAAAGATGGAAAAAAGAAAGAAAAATAAAGAAAGATGGAAAAAAGAAAGAAAAATAAAGAAAGATGGAAAAAAGAAAGAAAAATAAAGAAAGATGGAAAAAAAAAGAAAAATAAAGAAAGATGGAAAAAAAAAGAAAAAAAAAAGAAAGATGGAAAAAAGAAAGAAAATAAAAAAAGAAAGATGGAAAAAGAAAGAAGAATAAAGAAAGATGGAAAAAGAAAGAAAATAAAGAAAGATGGAAAAAAAGAAAAATAAAGAAAGATGGAAAAAAAAAAATAAAATAAAAATGAAAGAAAGAAAAAAAGAAAAGAATAAAGAAAGATGGAAAAAAAAAGAAAAATAAAGAAAGATGGAAAAAAGAAAGAAGAATAAAGAAAGATGGAAAAAAGAAAGAAAAATAAAGAAAGATGGAAAAAAGAAAGAAAAATAAAGAAAGATGGAAAAAAGAAAGAAGAATAAAGAAAGATGGAAAAAAGTAAGAAAAATAAAGAAAGATGGAAAAAAGAAAGAAGAATAAAGAAAGATGGAAAAAAGAAAGAAAAATAAAGAAAGATGGAAAAAAGAAAGAAGAATAAAGAAAGATGGAAAAAAGAAAGAAAAATAAAGAAAGATAGAAAAAAAAGAAAGAAAAATAAAGATGGAAAAAAGAAAATAAAAGAAAAAAGAAAGAAATTAAGAAAAACAAAAAGAAAAGAAAAGCAAAAGAACAAAAGATATTTTTCTATTAATAGTTCATCTAATACAAAGCCAAAGAGCCACTCAAGGCAAAGAGTTTTGGAAATAAATCTAAAAATTCTAATTCAAATAAGTTCATTTTCTTCAGTTAAATTGTTGAGTCGAATTTGCTTTTTGTATCTGTCTATATTTCTGAGATGAGGTATTATGTGCACTATTTACATTATTTGGACTATTGTCCTCATCTTTGGTGCCATATTTATTAAAACATTTTGTCTGTCGTACGCTCAGGTCTTCTTCACATGGTTGGAATGTTGAAATAAACCGTTTATTTCACCCACTGAGGTAGACTGTTCTAGTTCCACATGCCATGTTTTAATGGATGTCAGTTGTCGGTTATCTCCTGTTAATTTGCTTTTTATGTTTCAGATAATGAAATGATAGTCAAGTAATCAAACTACTGTGCTTTTAGTGAAGAATTTTTTTTAATACCCAAATTTTGATGTCAGTATCTGTTTGTATCTTATATGCTGATGTTATAAATTAAAAAAATACAACTTATTGTTTGTTCTGTTTTAATTGTATCTCAAAACTTAAAAAAAAAAAAAGTAAATGATCCTTTGAGTCTTTGGTTGTATCACACTCCATTTATACGAAATTTATATCTAATACAGAGTTATTTAGTGCTATAATTTTTGTTATAGACCAACCTCCTTCAACTAGGATAGAATAGTCCCTACTTTTTTCTTCTTGAAGAGGTCATCAACATTAATCATGTCATAAAATTGTCTATAATGTCTAGGGGCAAGGGTACTACAATTTATTAGAATATACACTTGTGGCAGACTTCACCACATTTATTTAACTTAGATTAGGAAACCAAACTGATGTGAAGAAAAAGAGGATAAGCCAAAGATATCATTACACATAAAATTTGTATTTAATAAGATGTACAAACAAGGATGTGAAAGAAAACCATGCATTGAGTAAAACAAGAGTTGTCTCTCTTTAACTATCAATTGTTCCAAAGTTCACTGAAAGAAATAAGGTTGTAATAGTTTCTGGTAATAAATATTTTTAACAGTTTTGCTGTGTAAGAAAAAAGATTATATGAGTATAGGGAATATTCAGCATGTGAGTGGTGGTGTGAGCGAGAAGGTTGGTGCATGGTTTCAACTGTCGTGGATTTCTGTGGCAGCTGAAATCTCACTAATTAACTAAGAATATTATTTGCTTATATAGGTGACCATCGGCTGCGAAATGCTGTGCGGGAAGAATTACTCTTCCCATGCAGACAATTTGATTGGTTGGAAATGACCAATCAGTGAGCATGCTTTGGGAAGACTCACGAAAAGCTTCTGGGATCCAATTCTCCCAAAAGTGAATGAAATTGACAACATGAAAATATAGCAATTATAAAATTGTCGCATTACACAGTAGTGTTGATTTATTATCCAATGAATGCTTGTTGTATAATTTGAATTTGCCTAAGTATGTATGTATGTGTGTGATGATCATCTTCATCACACACCATTTACATTATTCAGACAATTGTCCTCATCTTTGTCGCCATATTTATTACATTTTCATTCTCAAGGACACATGGCACACTGGATAAATGCGCATTAGTTAGATCCAGTGACAGGACCCAAAGTGTTTGAGTTCAATAAGGAGTGCCAGAGAAAAGTGATAACAACAACAAAAATTGCAATATGAGCTCTGGTAAAAATATGAGGGGATAACGGTAAAAAAATGGTTGCTGAAGACATTAGGTTTATAATACCCAGAAATTCATACACAGATGTCCTCAAGGACACATGGCACTGTGGATAAAGGTGTTAGATCCAGTGTCAGGGCCCAAAGAGTGTGAGTTCAATACCCAGTTAAGGCAGTGGAGAAGAGGGGAATTAACAGGAGCTAACTCACAACTGACATGCATTAAACATGGCATGTGGAACTAGAACAGTCTACCCCAGTGAGCGAAATAAAGGGTTCAGTTCGACATTCCAAACATTGTAATAAATATGGCGACAAAGATGAGGACAATAGTCCAAATAAGGTAAATAGTGTACATAATACCTCATCTCAGGTTAGAATATATTTTATGGCATATGTTGAGGTTATGAGAATGTTCATTTTTTTAGGAGAAATGAGTGAGTGATGTAGGTGTGTTTCTTCCTTCAGGGATAGTCTGAGACCATGATGCCATTCTTCTAGAATGCATTTAATTTGGTAAAATTTGTTGTTTGGATTGTAATTCCATAAATCATGCCAATTGTTTAGAATGTATGAGTTTATAGTTATTTTGAAGTTTGCATAGGGATTTTCAAATTTGAAATTTTCTTTTTCAGGAATTCCTTTGCTGTCATATCAGCTATTTCATTTTTTTTTTTAATCATTTTACCCCAAGCAAGACAGTAATAACACTAGAATGCAGGGGGTTACAGGGGGTGAAAGAGAATGAGAAGACTGAGAATAGGGAAGATTGACTGAGGGGGGGGAAAATTAACAGGGTTCAAGAAGATAGAAGATGGCAATTGACATTGCATTTAAATTTGTGAAGGGAAGCAGAAAAAAATGGAAAGTAGTTCCACAGGTGGGAAGTGTGAGAAAAGAAACTGTTGTAGTAGAAATGGCAGTTGCATTTCACCCCAAGGAAAGCAGTAATACCACTAGTATGTAGAGGACTACAGGGAGTGAAAATGAAAGAAAAGACTGACAATAGAGATGATTGAAGGAACGACAAAAGATAAACAGGATTCAAGAAGATTGAAGATGGTGATTGATGTTGCATTTAAATATTTTAATAAAACTGAAATTTTGTGGTGGTTGCATTTAGATATTTTAACAGTAAAAAGGTGGAATCTAGATGTCAGTCTAGTCGCATGCTTAAATTCATATAATCAGGGCACCAGAAAAAAGAGCTTATCATTTAGAGTCATTTAGTTATGTGCCATTTGTAATACACGGTTAGGCAATCATGTATCTTTTGATACATGACTGACGGGGCAGATTTTTTCTTGCAGTTGGTTGCCATTTCTTTTTGCCGTAGTCAAATTGCCATCCAAAGCTATAGAACCCAGTCTGTCCTGCTATTTACCCATAGCTGGGGGGAGAAGAAGAAGAATCATACCTTTCCCAAGGGTATTAGCATATAACTGAATGTGATAGATTTGAGTGGAATTTGAATTTGGCTTTCCGATTCCTCAATCTGAGCTTCTATTCATCACTCCACCAAGCCTCCCAAGTCAGTCTAGTAGCATGCTTAAATTCATGAAGTCAGGGTACCAGGAAAAAAAGCTTGTCAGAGCAGTTGCCATAAAAATATTTGTAGAAAAGATAGATGGAAGCCACATCACACTGATAAGAAAGTAATTGAACTCAAGATGTCTGGTCAGAATCGATTACATTACAGATCTGTTTTTGGATTTTGTCAAGAACCCTGAGATGAATAGCAGGAGCGCCAGACCAGATATGGCAGCAGTGTTCAATAATCAATAGAATAAACCAGACAATTTTACTATCTGTACTTGCATCACTAAGAAGCAAAAATCCAAACAACCCCTTGATAGATATTTAACTAATTGGTTTATTTGGTTTAACAAGTTAGCAACTACCTTGGCTTTGAGTGAGTCAAGCCCAAGTGTCTTGGCAAAGATCATCCTTGTTTGAACATTGTGAACTTGTGCTATAGAATTACAAACAAAAAACTGCACCAAATAATAGAAACCACATCACTTGATGACTACTAAGAGCATTAACAAATAAAATGGATAGCACATTTAACCCCCGGAAAATAATGTCATAATCAAGACCTTGGTGTTCCCTACTATTTGAAATAAAAGTTTAGAAAGGAAACCCCGATCAATACTGGAAAAAGTGATAACAGCCACTGGACTTGAGAAACCTATTTTCCTGAAAAATTATTTTAAGAGAAATATTTTTTAAATTGCAACCAAAAAGCTGTACTGGCTGCTCGGTCAATGAATGCCAAATGTTTCCTTATAAGGAAACAGATAATATTACTGTTATATTCCATGCTAAGGGAATAAATACTTAACACCAGGTGGATAATAGAAGAAAGCTTTATTGTACACAACAAGTACAATATGAAATACAGTACAGTTATACACACAGGTCAATCTAGTAGGGAGTGCCACTAATTGGAAGGTCAGACGTGCTTGCATCGTCTTGCTCTCACTCTTCCTTGAGTCTCTCGTAGACAGTTGACTTTATAGGTACTTACTACCTATAGTGTAATCATTCATGGGGGTGACTGGTTATTTCATTACATCAATTACCATTGTCATTATTTACAAATGTTTCAGAATAAAATCTACTAGACTATATGTATATATATATATATATATATATATATATATGCAAAGTCTGTTAATTTATATATCTGCTAAATGATTTGAAAGTAATTTCAAAAGTGTCATATAATCCAAGATTAAAGAAACCTCACATTAAAACCTGCACTGCATTGAGTAAGCCAATCAAATGTCCTGACACCAGATCAAAATTTAAAATCATTTATAAAATACATGAAGCTTTTTGTAATATTGATGTTGAGTTTGAGTAATAGAAATATAGTCTGGAAAAATATTTCTTCATAGTAAATTATACTTTTTTTTACACTAATTGCATCAGTCAGACTGTTGTTCTTATCTTTACTGGCATATAAATAATAGACAAAGAACATCACTGGAAAATACGAAAACTAAAGGAATCAGTGCATATGCTAGGCCACAAAAATCTCCTAAGCCGGCCAAGCATAGACATGAATACAATATGGGAACCAGTAATAGAGTGCTAGAGAAAAACTATAATATATAAAAGAGAAACATGGTTCAACAATTCACAGACACCTTTTCCAAATAAGACCTCCCACCATAGAGGAGAACATAATTAAGGACTGTGTATACACCGTCCCATGCAGCTGTGGCAAGCAATATAAAGAAGAAACAGGCTGCCCACTTAAGATAAAATTGCAGGAACACTGTAAAGGCATAACATGAGGGGAAATAGAAAAATCAGGTGTAGTTGATATTATATAGAGGGAAAAGAAAGATCACCAGCCCCTGTGGGATGAGGTCGAAATAATAGACAGAGAACATTACTGTAAAATACAAAAACTTAAGGAATCAGTGCATATGCTAGGCCACAAAAATCTCCTAAGCCGGCCAAGCATAGACATCAATACAATATGAAAATCAGTAATACGTAGTGCTAGAGATAAACAGCTATAACAAAAAATTGTAATATGAGCTCTGGCTAAAAAGGATAACTGGGACATTGGGTTTATAAGTCCCCAAATTTATCTCACTGGAACAATGGATAAAAGTGTTGGTTGAGTGATCCAAAAGTGACTTGACCCAAAGAGTTCTGAGTTCAATACCTGGCCACAGCAGAGGGAACAAACACTCTCCTAGTTACTAAAGAGAATTAACTGAAACTGAGATATCCAGAAAATGTATGACACACGGAATTAGAACAATCTACCCCATGGAATAAAAAAAGGGTTTGATTCAAAATTCCAACATACATCACCTGAAGAAGGTGAGAAAGTACAACAGCTGAAACATTGGGAATATGGCAATAATGATGAGGAGAATGATATAAATAGTTACAATACCTCAATCTCAGAAATATGAACAGAAAAGATACTGTATTTTAAGGGTATGCACTGTTTGAACCCAAAAATTTAATCTCAAAATTTGCTTGGGTCATATGCGCATAACATACAAATAAGCGTTCTCTTCGTTTCTTGGATTCTTTTAGCACTTATAAAACAGAAAATTTTTTAAAAAAATGAGCTAAGATCATAACCAGCTGTTATATGCAGCTGTTAAGCAAATCATTTGCAACCTCTCAATGTTTTGGTTAACAAGCTGTTTACGACAAGGAAAGAATGGAACAACTGGGTTCAGCAGGAAGATCTTGTTATGAATCTTACTGGACAAAGAAATAGATTGTCACATGCTCAAGTGTGCATGTGGGTGAAGAATTCATGAGAAAAATAACAATGATATAATAATTCTTTTTCTTTTATGTGCCATGTCCCTTCAGGATGGCACATAATTTCCTTCTGTCCCATGTAGCTCTCAATACGCTTTGACTTTTTCTCATTTCTTCCAGACCCTGTTCTAACATCCATTTACTTAAGCCCAATAAATATGTCTCATGTTGCTTTCCCTTTTCCCCTCTATCGTCCCTGTGAGTATCAGATTTTCCAAGCCCTCTTTTTTCATTATGTATTCCAGAAATTTCAGCTACCTCTTTCTGATGTTAAGTATAAGTTTCCTCTTTGTTTGCATCCTCTCCAGAACCTCATTGTTGCTCACATGTTCACTCCATGGTATCCTCAGCATCCTTCTGTAGAACCACGTCTCTGCTGGATCAAGCCTTTTCTTCATCTTTGAGGAGATTGTCCAACATTCACTGCTGCAAAGGAAATGAGATATCACATTGCAATTCAGAACTCTTTTTTTTGTTACCAACGAAACCCTCCTGTCTTATAATACTCTGCCTAGCTTTTAGAATGGCTCTTTGGCCATCTCAATATGTCTTCAGATCTCAGCGTCACACTTACTGTCCTCTGTCAGAACACTTCCCAGATATTTAAATTTCTGCATTTGCTTGATTTTAGTGTCATCAACCTGTAAATGATATTTCAAGCTCATCTTTTTGTTGATGACTATGCATTCTATAAAAAGTGTGGTATCTTCTCTCTTCATTCAATTTCAGGTGTTAAAATCTTCTGATAAAGCAGAATATTTTTCTTATAAAATCTCAAGTCGTTTCTGCATCCTAATGTTAATGATGTTGCCAGTATTCAAACTTTTAATTTCTCCATTGTGCAGTCTCTCAGTCAAATAGTGTATTTCCCTACTCGTTTCCCTAATAAATCTGTTATAGACAAGCGTATGGTTGCAAGAAAGAAATACAACAACAGTAGAAATAGATTTACGTGGTTTATTTCAACAGGAACGTAAGGGTTTAGGATAGCTACCTTGGTGTGGTAAAGTTCATAAGCCGGCTTTCGGATCTAGGTCGATCTCTCATAGTAGTTCACACATGTGGACAGTGGTTGACGCTCTCCTGCTGACAGCTGCTAAACGTGACCGGTCTCCTTTGTGGCCACCTGTTGACTGCCGCTGAACTTCCCTGTGACCCCTTTTATAGCATTTTTTTATGGCTTAACAGGCTCGAGAAACGAAGCGAGTATAATTAGGAGGAAAGCATTTTTATTGGACGAAAAAATAGAGCACTTTAAATATTATTTTATTTTTGACCGGAACACGTGTCGGAAACATTTGAAGAAAGATAATGGTCATTTTGTGACGGGGCTTTGTCCTGTTCACATCCGGTTCTCGCTCTTGAGTATTTGCCTGTAAATCAGCCGAGATATGTCATTTTATTTTATAACAAATCTGATCAACGTTCTTTTATACTTTGATTTCTTAATTACCGCCTCACCTATCTCTTGTCAAGCATCACAACTCTGTCCTCTTAGCAATCTGGATTACACTGCAGCATCTGTCGATATTTCTTTTGAGTTGTCTATTAGAAAGGAACTGCCTATACACAAAACTTCTTTCTGCTACAAAAGTGCTGATTGGGATTCATTTCTTAACTTTCTTTGAGACACCACTTGAATTGATATTCTTAACCTTCCTAATGAGAATTGTTTCACAGAGATTTTTGCTTGGGTTAAAGCCAGCATAGATTTTTTTTTTCTGGACAGAGCAGCCTGATGTCGAGACAATTTATTATAGTACATCCAAGACACTGCGTCGCTGTCGGGCCTGCTCTCTCCAAAAGGTTACTGACCTCTGGGTTAGTATCTGTCTATATTTCTGAGATGAGGTATTATGTACACTATTTACATTATTTGGACTATTGTCCTCATCTTTGTTGCCATATTTATCACAACATTTTGGCCATTGTACACTCCGGCCTTCTTCAGGTGGTTGGAATGTCAAACTGAATCCTTTATTTTGCTCACTGGGCACTAGTTCTACATGCTATGTTTAATGGATGTCAGTTATCAGTTATTTCCTGTTAATTTCCCTCTGAAAGTTCTCCACTGCCTTACCCGGTTACTGAACTCACACTATTTTGGTCCTGTCACTGGATCTAACCAACGCCTTTATCCACTGTGCCATTGGTCTCTCAAAAAAGAAACTCACATGATACACGAGATACAAGATAAAATCATTTTTTATAAGTGAAGATTTGGGGGTCACACAATACGTGAGATTGCATGTTACACGAGGATATACTGTACTCATTAAAATAAGGATTAGAATTTTAAAATAGTACTTTTTGATAAAACTGGTGTTTTACTTAACTGTATCCAATAATAATACATGTAATATTCCCATATTAATATCATATTATAAAATACAAACATAGCGAATATTCATGTTTTCCCTTGTGTACGTTTATAAGATATTTAGCTGTTTTTTGTTTGTTTTTTTATGGCTGTATATGTGTTTACACAAGTATAGCGTTACTAATGATACTTTTATCATTCTCTTTTACTTTTTTAACATATTTAACTACAAGATGGGATAAAGAGATAAATGAAAAGCGGTTAGTCTATTGTAATTTGCTCTCTCAAAAAGGAACTTGCATGATATACGAGACGAGATGCATGATAAAATCAGTTTTTATAAGTGAAAATTTTGGTTGCACAATACATGAGATCACATGCTATATGAAGATATATAATAATAGTAAATAATAATTTTTTTTTTTGTTACAAAGAAAACTTACAGTGAACATGGAAACACCAAGATCCAGTGTTTTACTGAACTGTCTCATACATTCCACTGCTGATAAATAATCCAGCCATCACTTCCTTTGAAAAATGAACTATGAACAAGTCACCTCCAGGCTGTCCATTTCTACTCATCTACTTACTGGCGCCATCTTGAATTACCTTATAATAGTCGTTAGGAGAAAGTGCTGTTGTCATTCTTTTTTTCTTGGCAGGTGATGTGGCAGTTTTAATGTCCACAATTCCCTTCGTTTCATTCAGCCACACTTACAGTTATTATCAGGAATTATTTTTCAATATTTTCTCTTTATACCAGAATTCACCCAATGGAAAGCACAAGTGCCACTCAATGTAGAAACTGTTAAAATTATAACGATGAATGAAGTGTGTGATTTGAATGAAAAAGGAGGTGTTAGGAAGTGTAGATTATGGGGATAAAGAGGAGAGATAACGATTGAACCGTAGCTTGAAGTTAAGATTGTAATGTTCTGGGAGATATTCATATAGGAATCAGTTCTAGTAAAGTAGCAATTCTTGGGAAAAAGCTAATTTCTTACATTTGGAACCCAGAGAAAATGAGAATGATCTGTCTCCATGGAATGAGCCAGGCAGGTTCTGGCTGTAAAGGTCTGAACTGGTAGAAATAAAGAATGGAGCTCATCTGAACATTTGCCATGGAAATAGTAATAGAGTAGGGAGAGACTTAGCTGTAAAGGTCTGAAATTGTGGAACTTAAGAATGTAGCTCATTTGAACATTGGCCATGGAAATAGCATGTCTAATCCATATTAGAAAGAGGCTTAGTTGTAAAGTTCTGAACTGGTAGAACTAAAGAATGGAGCTCATCTAAATATTTGACATGGAAATAGTGAGATGTTAGCAATAGGCACATAAATGATTTTGAACATTTTAAGGTGAGTATTGAGTACCTCCAGCAATGTTTTATTTTTAGTCTAATCTCACTCTCGTAAATATTCTCAAACATATAATCTGTATGGTGTTAAGTCGCTCTAATGTCTTATAGAAAACATTAACATTCTTGAACAAAAAATCAACATCCCCAGACATGTGCTCTAAGAAATGGAACTGAAGATAAACATTTCCAGAACCAAAACTATGAACTGGAATTGGAATGAAAGCAGTGATGGCACTTTGAATCTATCATAAAAATTCAGGATGTGCCATTAATAAATATTTCTTCTTCTTTTATGTGCTGAGTTCTTTCAGGACATAGATGATCATGGCTCTCTCTCCCTGTCTTTTCCCTTGTTGGAGAACTTTTGCTAAAGTTGTTGGAGAACTGAAGGAAAAAAAAAATGAAAAAAAGAAAAATGACTTATTTTTGCTGGTAACATGCTTTTCACAAAAGAATATAAATATATATGCACTAATGGGGAGACTTTTTCCACGCAGTGAATCCAGAGAAAAAAAAAAAATGAAAAAAGATTGGCCATCAAGATGTTATAAGGCAAATATTTAAAACCATTACATTCTCACTAAATAAAGAAACGACATTCAACAGCAGTAATAACTGGTAACATGCAAATTTTCAAGATGCTGACATTCGAAACAAAATATAAATATATATGTTACTAATGGGAAAAGGGGGGGCCAATAAATGCCAATTGTTTTAGATTCCCTACACAATAAAAATCAATCAAAGGTCAATTGATGCCATGATACATGCTTAGGTAATCATGTATCTTTTGATACACGACTGACGAGGCATCACAGTGGCTGGTTGCCATTTCTTTCTGCGGTAGACCAGCTATCCAAGGCTATAAACAACTAAATTTGCCAAGGGTATTAGCATGTAAGTGATAGGTAATGGATTCGACTGGAATCGAACTCAGCTCTTCAATTCCTCAATCCAAGCCACTATCCATTACTCCGCCGTGCCTCCTAAGGTAAGCTTTGTAAATCCAGAAACATTTTGGGAGTCATCTTGCATCTTTGCCTCTTATTCAGAACCCCTGCAACAAAATATGATCACTAAATACAGATAATTAAAATATGATAATTAAATACAGAAACAACTGCCTTTGTTTTAAAAATCAAGATTGGCATCAACAACAACTAAAATGAATAACACATATAACTTGAAGAGAGAATGATGGCATCATCAAGATGTTGACGTTCCACACTATATCAAACAAAAGGTTAGGAAGGAAGCCTCTGACAGTATTGCAGAATTACAAAGATAGAAATGTGCTAAATAAAGAAACCAAAACACTTGAGGACATTCAACAGAAAAACACAATGCAGAAAGTCATCTCACATTGTCCAAATTTCTTACATGAACCTTTTTTTATACTATTGTTCACCAAATACAAGGCTCAAGAGCCATTCAAGTTAGAGGGTAAGTGAATTAAGTTCTTGTATGTGCATAAAAGGAGGGGGATAAGAAGTGCATATTATGAGGATATGTAGATGACAGTTGACACTAGACATGAAGAAATTAACATTATAGTGATCAGGAAAGCATTCTCTTGGGAGTCTGTTCCACAATATAACTGTTCTGGGGAAGAAGCTGCAGTCTAAGTAGAATATGATGGGAATGAGGATAATTGGACCTAGTGTCTGTGAATATGCCAAGTCCTAGCTGTGAAGGTCTGAACTGGTGGAACCAAGAAATGTAACTCATCTGAAGTATTGACATCATTCATTTTTGACCGTTTTCTCATTTGCATTGCTTGTTTACACCCAGTACTAAGAGACATAATAGTCTTTAATCTGTAAAATTCCTTAGTTTTGTCATTATTATTATTTTTTCATTTGATTTTTATTATTTGCTCCCAACAGAGATGACAGGCTTCACAAAATTTCTCAAGAATTTTCAATATGAATTTCAATGATTTTTACCAGTTTTTGCTGCAGAGGCTGTTTCTAAAAAAATATTCAATGTGCTTTACATTTAATGGACATAAAAGAAATTATTTTTTTGTTTTATTTGATGGCATATCAACCATTTCCATATTATTTAATGCCGATTCCAGTCACTTTCATGCATAGTTTGATTCTTTTTATTTAAGCCAACTGAAGAATGATATTATATCCTTTATCTAAATATTTTCAAATAATCCCATCATACGGTGTGTTTTTTTTTAATACTGCACACCGAATATAAGGCTCAAGAGTCACTCAAGGTAGATGCTTACTTGTTTAAGTAATTTTATAGGACAGATAATGATTGACTCTAGAGATTGTAGTGCTTAGGGAAATATCTACTCAAGAGTCCATTCCATAATGCAACAGCTCTGGGGAAGCAGCTGTCTGTCTGGAACTTCCTCCTCACAAATGGAATATGAAGAAAATGAGGAGGAGTTGACTTAAAGGTCTTGATATTTGCCTTAACAGCAGGAGGCTAGCAGTGATTCATCTGTGAGAAAGGGGTTCCTCTTTTTTCTTCTTCTTCATCGGCTGTTTTTGTTTATCGTTCAAGTGTGGGAGCATCATCTATATCAGTGCCCCCCCCCATTCCATGTAACTGGCTAGCTGTGTGCATGGTAGTTATCATTCCAAAAACAGGATCTCTTGATGATTTTGTGGCAATTCTAGTGGAACAAAAATTTTTGATAGGATCACCTGTCCTGGCTGTCATCCCACCTCAGACTTTAACCCATTACCTGCCATGAGCCCCATTTGGGGATCTGTTAGAATTAAACTCACTACAGGTTATACCTTGTATCTATATTGAATTCCTTACATACATTGCATTTGCAGAGGTATATTTTACTACACTTAGACTTTAAAGTTTTTATTATTAGCCAAGAGAAGACACTTTCTGTCGTCATTTTACATTTCACTAGTAGGAAAATTATGACTATTTTGAAAAGTATGTTTTTATTATTTCTAATCTGTTGTGGCCTGTTTAGGAGCCAGAAAGAAAAACATGGAAGATGAAGGTAGGTTAAAAAAAGTATATTGGTGATATATACAAAACAATAGTGTGAGTAATAAGTAGATTAGCACTGCGTCTACTAATCCACTTCGTCTATCCGACTCTTGCAGTTTGTATTTATGAGAGGAGGAAGAGTTCATTCTACTGTAGGAGGGTTTACCACAGCATAATCGATATTATTTTTGGATGTTTTATATACATATATATTTGATGTTCTAGTTTCTATAAAAACAATGGTAACTACTGAAATTAAACATAAGGAATAAATAAACTTCTAAGACACCTGTCTGGGCCAAAAATGTGTCATTAAAATGATTTGGCAATTAATGGGTTAATGGCAACTTAGGACTCTGCAATTCCTATACTCAGGCATTGTATCTCGGCATTGTCCTCATAAAGGAATCGCCGAACCATATAACAATTCATCACCTACAAGTCCATGGAAATGCTTTTGAACTTTGTCAAGGCTAGAAACAGAGGATTGTACTGCTTCAGCCTAGATATGGCAGCAATACTCCATTTTTTGGTCTGATCTGACTTTTGTAAAAAGAGAGCATGGTAGGAGGAGTCTGATACTTTCTCAAGTGGTATTGGGAACTGATCATTTTTACCAGTATTTTTAGAGATATCCTGAACAGATGTGAGCAATGAGGGAATGTTAAGGAACATGGGAACTTGAAAGACACTTAGAATTCAAATAATAAAGAAACAATTGAAATGTCTGGTACACATAATGAGGAAAGAGTTCCTGGAGAACTTAACACTCACAGGGAAGGGTCATAGAAGAACAACAATGAGTTTGATTGAACGGATGCAGAAGAGAAGGAAAAAAAAAGATGGTAAAATCTGAAATAACAAGTGACAAAAAATTTATTGAGAGCTGAAATAATAAAGAATTTCTACAATTATGCACATATACAATAATATATATATATTATAATTATTTTTTTAATAATATGCCTCCATTGCAACACAGAAATTACAATGTTTCAAAACTGAAACTTAAATCGAAACTAAATTTGAGTTTAAAATTTAAAGTTAAAATTTGGAGCTTCAAGCTTCAAATTTTAAGTTTAAATTCAGAAGTTAAATTTTAAGATTTAAGTCTTGGTTTTGAAACATAGTGATTTCTGTGTTGCAATGGAGACATATTTTTAAAAAAAAATTATATTATGCTCTACTTTGTATTGAACACTGATTTTTAAAAGATAAATGCTAAAGAACTCTGGATTATCAATCTGACTGTTCTTTCCTATTAATTGAATATACACACACATATATATATATATATATATATA